AGTTGTACAATGGTGCTAGATGGCCAACTAGTTTCCCGAGTCAATGATGGGATTTTGTAGTTGACTGAAGACGGTAGGGATTGGATTTCAATGTTGGATTTTAGGAGAGGTGGTGTGGTTTTTATTTTAGGAGAGAGGTTGGTTGTCAATTCATTTCGCTTGGCTTTTTTGCGAAGCTCATGTATTTCCCACTCATATCAATCAATCAATCAATCAATGATCTGTAGGTTTTGACCTCTATTAGTTACTTTTCTACTCATTAACTTGGTTCGGCCTCTGATCCTCCTCTCTATTTACATGTGGAGGTGTTAAAAGACTCTCATGTACAACCAGCATTGGCTGATAGCTACATGGATAAACAGTGCATTATCTTTAATTTCGTGCAACCAACCAGCCAATTTGCACCCTGAATATATAAAAATTGAGTGATCCATTTATTTCCTATTTACAAGTTACGCTTTAGCGTCTATTGTTATTGTTTCTAATCACTCGCTTGATTGTTTCCACCATTTGCAAATCCTCAATAGTCAATGCAGCACCGACCAAGCCACCTAATTCCTTCCAGCTCCAAGGAAATTTTTCTTCTGACAGAAGCACGATCGACAACGCATCCTTCAACATCTTTAAATCTTTGAAGCACTCTACTAACGCTCTAGCAAACTCAAAATCTGCCACATGCTGAATTTTCTTTGGCTTACTTTGGTACACGATTGATTTTCTGTAGCAACCACGTTCTTTAAGAAGTTGCATTGCAAAGTCGTAGTTCTTGAATTTTGCAGCTGCCTTTAGTGCTGTGATGTAAATCGGGGTATCCCTGGAAATTCTGTAAAGGTTGGTTTCCACTTTATCAATCACCTCCAAACCATCACCTCCTGATTTAGGGATAGCTGTAGCTTCTAGACAAGTGAGGTTTTCATAATGCTTTAAAAACCCTTCCATCGATCCCAATTGAACGCATGTATTCAAAAATGATGTGACCAATTGCGGAGTCAAAAGCCAAGGTTTGAAGTCCTTTATGAATGTCACAATAGCAGTCGCTTCAGCAAGGACTGCATCATTGTTAGGCAAGCTAATCAAGGGGAGGAAAGGGAATCCACCCTGGATTTCTGAAAAATCGACATCCTGCATCACGTTTTGTTTAAAAATCCGACCTCGTTCGTTGAATTCAATAGCACTACGTTTGGTTTTTTCGCGACTCGAATGGTCGTGCTTCGAATATGACATCATCAAATATAAAACTGCTTTCGATGTGACAGAATTGGTTTGTATCAATTTCGCAAATAGTGCCCTTGTGAGGTCTACACTACCCTCTAAGGCAGAAATGTTTAGCATACTCTCGTAGGTTTGTAAGTTTGGCAGCAAACCTTGATCATAGATTTTGAAAACAAAATCCCATGACTTCGTCGAAAATCTTTTGCTCTTGCAACATCCTCTCGCCAACGAAGCCAAGACATTCTGGTTTAGGGCTATGTTATTATCCAACATCTCTTGATAGAGATCCAACGCTCCTTCCAATCTGTTACTTTTAACAAATGAAAAGACCATGTCGGTGTAGTTGCGCTCATTTGGCTGCGTTTTCTTGGACAAGAACTTCATCGCATTAAATGTCTCCCATGCTTTAGCATGGTCGTGGGTATAATAGATATAACCCTGAAGTATTGATGAAAATATAGAACGCGTTATCTCAACATTCTTTAACTGCATAGTATTCAACAATTTTTCCACCTTCTTCATGTTGCCATTTTTGATGTACCCACAAATCATCGTTTCATAATAGTCGGGTTTCTGTTCATTTTGTTCCAAGAATCTTTCAAAGTATGCTTCCATTGATTGGATTTCCGCTGAAGTTACTGTACCTCCAGTTGCAAGCGATTTGAAAAAAAGGAGCTCAATTTTAGGGGTGATCTCTATTTCTGCATCTGAACACATCTGAATTAGTTGTGGAACGAGCTTTTTTAAATCTGCAGGTGGTATTGTTTTTACAAAGGCATGCACTGTTTTCGTATCAAGATCTGTAAAGCCTCCACTCAATTCCAATTGTTGCACTATAAGAGCCCATTGAGGTTTGAATTCTCCATTTCCGGGTATCAAGTATGTCGAAGCTAGGCCAAGCTTGTCATTGATCACAGAGGGGAACACATACTTTGAAGATTTCAGCTCAGGATTTGATATCAAGTTTTGTGAGTGTATAGCCTCAAACACTTTCTCCGTCGAATCAGATGTTGAGTCGTCATGTAGTCCATCATTTGCTTTCAATGAAACTTCCGTCGCTAGCTCTCTCAAAGAGCGTAACTCGTCTCTTGCCAATTTCCTGACATTTTTGCCATTATTATTTCTGTATTTTTGCCTCTGAAGTAACCTCTTCAACTCTATTTGATGCTCTATCTTGTCTTCTATTTCCCTTTGAGGTATTTGCTGTGAAGTTGTAGATGCCCTAGGAACAAACAAATGACGGGTTTTGCCTAGTAAGTGCCTGCTGAAAGATATCATCGCCGTTGGCAGCCTCACCATGTGGTTTGTTAGTCGTAGCATAATACGCAAATTATAATGTAGTTACACCAAAGTTCTATTATATTGGTCTCTGGAGCAAGTTGAAACTTTGGGTGAGTTATAGTTCCCCTATTTTTTTTCCAACTTTAGGCCGTATGTTGTTATACTGGACTAAGTCCGAATACAGGAAGCGATGCCGTGGAAAAATGAAATACTTAGCTAAATAAATAATAAAAAAAATAAAAAATCAAATAAAAAATAAAAAAAATAAAAAACTCAAAAAATAAACGATTTGACTGAAAGCACTTTTGCAAGGATTCAAACAAATTACAGAAAAAGTGGCTGAACATACAACGCTTATGACCAGTTTTCACAATTGGTAAAACTATGACTCAACTGAACTTGGATTCCATTCATATTCCTTCAAACGAGAGACAAAGATCTGCATCAACTGCTGCATTACACCCCGACCTCGGCACACTCACGTCAAAAGATCCGCACTTGATGCTGAACTCCTCAGGCTTATCTCCCGGCGTCGGTACGAGTGGTATCACAAGCAGCACCTCCGATATCCCTCCCGACTTAGCCATATTGTTACAAAAGTTGGATGAGGACTTTTTGGTGAATAAATCAATCGACCAGTGGACATACATAAACCGAAGAGAGGAGATAATGCAGTCGGTCAACAGACTTCACCAAAGACAAAACCAAGATTATTTCCCTTTGGATCCGAATCTGTTGGAGCTACCACTCAAACCAAGGAGATCGGCAACGTTTTTTACAGACAACAAAACTTCAGATAACATTCTAGATATATTGAAAAACAGAGCTAGCATCTACAAATCTGACTTGGCTTTCGTGGTGTTGGACTCGAGAGGAAAAGAAGTCAATTCAATTACATGGGAAAAATTATATTTGAAAGCTGTGAAAATAGCTTACGAAATTCAACACAAATCATCCATGAAAAACAGTGATACCGTCATTCTTTTGTACAAGGATGGGGAGGTTACTGAGTTTGTTGCGGCGTTATTTGGATGCTTTTTAGCAGGAGTTACCGCTATACCTATACACCAAGACATATCATTGAGTGAAGTTCTAAGCATCCTTACGCTTACATCGTCCAAGCTTCTTTTATATTCTGATACAGTGGCAAAAGAGCTCGAAAGACTCAACGCTCAAAATCTGAGAATACAATGGCCTGCAAAACTATTACGATGGAGGACCACCGACTTTGGCTCTGCGAAAAAGTCGGAGCTATCTTCTTGGAATTCCAAGCATCAAAACAAACGTGATTCTGCGCAGAATATGAATTTGGCATATATTGAGTTTTCAAGATCTCCAGTTGGGGAGCTACGAGGAATTGCACTTAGTCACAAGACCATATCACATCAAATGCAATGTCTAGATGCAGCACTTCTGAGCTTGCCAAATTCAGGAGGAGCGTTTCGCCGTAGCAGCCACGAATATAAAGGAAACAAAAAGGTTGTTTTAGCTACGTTGGATATTAGGTTCTCCATTGGCCTCATATTAGGGGTAATTTTCACCATTTACAGCGGGAATGTATTGTTTTGGGCTCCACAAAGAGTGATGGAAATGCAAGGTTTGTATGCCAATATTTTAACAAGATGTCGTGCTTCTTTGTTGTTGGCAGATTACCTCGGACTAAAAAGAGTCACTTATGACTACCAAGAATCGCCTAGTGCAACGAGATATTTCTCTAAAACTCAACGAGTCGATTTTTCGTCTGTCAAATGGGTCTTAGTGAATGCTTTGACTATAGATGGAGAGTTTATGGAGATATTAGCACAAAGATACCTTAGGCCATTAGGATGCCAGCATCCAGAGAATGCAATCATCCCTATGCTCACTTTGAGTGAGTACGGTGGCATGGTGATATCGCTTAGAGATTGGCTTGGAGGCAAGGACAAAATGGGAGTTACAGTATCTGATGAAGAATCAAGTGATTTGTCATCCGTGGTTATTGATAAGGAGTGTTTAACTAGGAATGTGGTTAAAATTGTGGAAACTAACCCATCTACGTCGGATGATATTGGTAGTAACTACCTCAGGGTTGATGCCTTTGGATATCCTCTTCCTGATGCGACATTGGCTGTTGTAAACCCTGAACTGGCAACATTGGTTCAAAAAGGAGAATTGGGCGAAATTTGGATCGATAGCCCCTGTCTTTCCGGTGGTTTTTACGGCTTGCGAAAAGAATCGAAGCTGATATTTCATGCTAAATGCCGTGGACCAGATGGTTTGCTTGAGATGGATTTTTTGAGAACGGGGCTTTTGGGATTCACGCATGGTGGTAAGGTATATATTTTGGGCTTGTACGAAGACAGAATTCGACAAAGAGTTAGCTGGATGGACCATCCGTCGTTCAAGAAAACAACACTAGATCTTGGGCAGTATTCAGGATCAAGATACCACTATTCTTCACACTTGCTAGCCACTTTGGCAAGCGAAGTGAAACAAATTTACGACTGTACGATTTTTGATATATTTGTTGGTAACGAATACTTGCCTGTTGCTATAGTTGAAGCTGAAGTGATACGGAAGCAATTTGAAGATTCGAGTGGTGCAGATGCGAATAATGGAGGAGCAAAAGCCAAAGTTGGAGACCTTGATCAAAATAGTGGAGCTCCGCTCAACGAACCGGTATTGAATGCGATTGCCCAAAAATGCTTTGATACCCTCTATAAGAGGCATTCGCTAAGATTGTACTGCGTGATGGTGGTTGATTGTGACACCTTACCGAAAATAATGCGAAGCGGCGGTAGAGAAATCGCAAATATGCTATGCAAAAAGAAATTTTTGGAAGGCACCTTGAAAGCAGATTTTGTTAAATTTTTTGTTAGGAAATCAATCAGTCTTATACCGCATGGTGAGGATGTTATTGGTGGTATTTGGTCGCCATACGTTTCTGAGTTAAGAAATAAGGCGTTGAACAATTTCCCCAATCAGTATTCTGCCATTGACTATCGGGCCAAAACCGTTGACGACAAAACTGGAACAACTTTGTCAGATTATAAAACAATATGTGATATTCTCAAGCTTCGTGTTGCTAAAAACGGGGATGCCATTGCTTTTCAGAATGTGGATGTGAGCGGAAAGAATAAGCCTTTAACTTGGAAAAAATTTGAGCACAAAGTCCATGCTGTATGTCAATATTTGATAGATAAGGCCAACATTAAGGCAGGACAGTACCTCATATTGATGTATTCTTTATCAGAAGACTTTGCTGTGGCCATATATGCTTGTTTTATTTGTGGCGTGATACCCATCCCGATGCTTCCTTTTGACTCGAACAGGATTGGTGAAGACTTTCCTGCTTTTATTGGGGTAATCAGGGATTTTGATATTTCAGAAATATTGGTTAATGATGAAGTTGAGAAATTTTTGAAAAATGGACCGATAGCAGATTCGTTGAAAAAGGTTACTCACAAGCGAGTGAAGTCGTTAAAGATCAAAAATACTACAAAACTCAGTAAAGTATCAAATGTGAGTTCTTTGACAACAAAAATTGCGGCTTTTCTGGGTTCCAATAAGAGCAATAACGATGATGCAATTGCGTTGGTGTGGCTCAACTTCACGTCTGATCATTATCGTGTTGGGGCCACTTTAAGCCACAAAAACATCATTGGGGTATGTAAAGTGTTCAAGGAAACTTGCAATCTTAGTTCCCAATCCTCGATTGTAGGCTGTGTGAGACATGCTTCTGGAATTGGTTTTGTTCAAGCATGTCTTTTAGGGGTATTTTTGGGAACCACAACGTACCTAAGCTCGCCTGTTAATTACGCAGAGAACCCGTTGTCGTTTTTCTTAACGCTCGCAAGGTACAAGGTGAAGGATGTGTTTGTTACTGAGCAAATGCTTAAATATGCCGCCATCAAATTCTCTCCAAAAGGTTTCAATCTAGCGCACTTGAAAAACATGATGATTAGTACCGAAAGTAGGGTCGAGGTGGACTTCTTGCGAAAGATAGCTAAAGTTTTCCAGCCTACAAAGTTGAGTGCTGCATCGATGTCAACGGTCCACAATCATCACTTTAACCCGATAATCTCGACTCGGTCTTATATGACTGTTGCACCTGTTGACCTATACTTGGATCCGGTGGCATTAAGACAGGGTTATATTTCTGTGGTGAATCAGTCTGATGTGCCAAATGCACTACATGTGCAAGACTCTGGAATGGTGCCTGTTTGTACAGAGATTGCCATAGTCAACCCTGAAACGAGGAAAATATGTAAAGAGGGCGAGTATGGTGAAATTTGGGTCTGTTCAGAAGCCAATCTAACTTCATTTACAAATGGACCTCGTGGACCAATTGACCACTTTACGCCGATTCAATTTAATGGAAAGATTGAAGACGGTAACCCGGGTGTGACTTACCTTCGAACAGGAGAGTTGGGGTTCTTACACAACATCACGATTACAAAAAACAAGGCCAACCGGAATGAAAATGAAATTTCGTCGTTTCAACCACTTTTTGTATTGGGAAAAATTGCTGATACTTTTGAAGTGATGGGATTGCATCATTTTCCAATTGACATTGAAAACACTATTGAGTTTTCCCATGCAGATATCTACAAGAATGGTTCATGTGTGTTCCGGTGTGCAGACTACACTGTTGTTGTCTGTGAGTCAAAACGAACGCGTTACTTTGCATCTTTGGTACCCCTTATCATAAACACGGTATTTAGCAAGCACCACTTGATAATTGACATTGTTGCCTTCATCAAAAAGGGTGAATTTCCTATATCCCGTCTCGGAACGAAGCAAAGGGCTCGGATTGTTGACGCCTGGGTGCAGGGGGTTATACCTATTAGTGCATCATATGGTGTTAACTATGGCGAAAATAGTATGATAAAGTTGATAAAAGAAATGGAAAAGTCGGCTCAGGAAAATCCAATGATAGAGCTTAAAAATCCAGCATTATCTTATTACGATTCTGAACTTGATACCGTCAATGTATTTGACGACGACAAGCGAGAGATACTAAGATTGAACGATCGTCCATAGATATTTTAAATAATCTAATTTCAAACCTTTCTAATTCCCTCTTGCTCCTGACAATGACTTCAAAGACTTGAACATCATATCACAAATACCCGTAAAACCTCTCAGATCGAGGACCTTTAGGATTTCAAGCTTGATTTGTTCCCGAGTTAAGGGTAACCACTCAGTTCGTTCATCTGCCCGCATCGAAGTTACATTCTCTTCGGTTAAGGGACCTTCAATTCGCACATCAAGGTTATGCTGATCTTCCAAATGTCGCAAAATTTTAGTTGCAGTGAAAACAAAGGTAGGACTCATCAAAATTCCCCCGATATCGTCAAGTTCACTGCTGGAGATGCAAGTGTTGTGCGCCAACTTCGGCAATAAGAAAGGGTTGAGAAAAAGTGCCTTATGTGGGGAATCCTGTCGCCGATTGAAACTGAGGAACTTTCCTCTCCAAACCATATTTACGAAATCCATGGTCAAAGAGTTTTGCATCCTTCGCAATTTGTCGCTAGTGTAATGAAGCTTTTTCTCTTCAGCAACGTGGAAACAAATTTCGTCCAATACATTCAAATCACCATGTAGCAACAGGAAGTAGACGACGCAACGTGGCACTGCAATGCTAGTACTGAGTGAAATATCTGCTTCCCGTTGTTTTCTATATAACAAGAGTATTTTTCTCACCACCGTACCGCCAATCCAGGGGCTGAACTGAGTAGTAAGTTGTAATAATAGGGGGGATATCTCTGTCAAAATCTCGGGATTTCTCAGCATACTTACTTCAAGTAACAATAATATTTCTTTGAGATATTCCTCACTCAAATGCAGATAATAAGGGTTCCCTTTTTGGGAATAGTTTGCTTCCAAATTTACCTGGTCATTGATAATCATTGACCGCAATTCATCGACGTTTGCCTGCACTAGTCGTATGAATTTGATCCTCCTGTGGAACAGCTGAGACCAGGTTTTTTGATGGTTCAAATTTAACACGAATTCATTAATCAGGCCTATACTAAAATTGTCTTTATTAAAGCGTCGAAAGTGCCATAAAACATTTACAATCCAATGGTTCAAAAAATCTTTGTTCTGGAAGGAGGTAATCTTCAAATAATTATCGACGTCAGTTAGATTCAACTTATTTGTACATAGCTGAATGGCAAACGAGTTCTTTTGTGAAGCTTCCAAGTGGTTACTGGGTGTACCAATGGGTACCCAGCTACTCATCATGTCTCGAGTCATGCTGCCTTTCGAATCAGAATTCTTCTTTCTGCGTTTAACGTTTTCTTCCCCTGTCCCCAAACATAATATGCCAGTTTTACCCTTCCCAGTAATTGTGCATAGAGTCAGAGAAAGTGGCTTCGCACTAGTAGTCACTTCAATCACTTCAATTAAACGTCGCAAGTTTGAATCTGCAGGGAATTTGACTTTTAAGCCTCTGATCCAGTTAGATTCCCATCTAGTAGTAAAATAAAACTCATCCTCTTGCTTCCTGTTCTTGAAGGTTATTAGTTCTGGTGAGTTGTTGTGCAAGAAGATAAAAATAACCAAACTTGAAACGTGGTCCCGCAAGAATTCATACGCCATTAGTTTTATTAGGATAGGCAAAACAATGAAGGAATGTGTTTGAATTGCAGTTGCAAAAAATTCAATTCTAGTTGCAATTTGGCTCAATAGTTCGACCTGCAAAGCAACAGGAACTTTTTTAGACTGAGCGTGTTCCACTCCATGAACTCGACTTTGAGTAGGTCCTAGGTTAGCTAACACATGAAGCAACGATTGAATTGACATGTTGCAGCATGGATTCAAGCAGTAGGACACCAATGTGTGCTTGACAGGATCCAGTACTGAACGACGACTGAGATCAAACACTGTATTTAAAACATCGCGTATTACACGCTCCAGGTATCCCTTTTCTCCTTGTTGAGCTAGATACTTCAATTGAACATCGTCAATCAGCTTGCTAATTCGAATCGAAGCTAAAATTTTGAGAGTTTCGTCATCTTCGCTTGACCCCATTGAGCCACACTGTCGTGGATTTTTTAGAGCGGGAGGAGGACTGTGGAAGAGGTTTTGCAATTGTTGTTATGCGGCACTACTTCCTGTCTGTTTTTTTTTTAGTACAGTCTTTTTATTTTTGTTTCATACGAGTGCGACATAATTGTTCATACCAGAGCGACATTTATTTTTCATACCAATGCGACATAATTTTTCAAACTACAACATTACCCAAAAGAATTCCCATACCTTTAACCAGATTGAGTCTGGTTCTGTAGAATTAGGGCAATTAGATTTAAAGTATGAAATGATATCAAACCTTTTTTTTTGTTTGAGCTTAGTCCTTTTCTACTGTCTTCT